GGTACAGGTGTGTTTCTGTTGTTGCAGGCTGTCCTTAATGTGCTCCACTTTCCACATGAGTGGGATAAGAACCGCACAGCTCTTGTGTCCTAATTCCATTGCTAGGTGACTAATTCCAATAAACTGATCTGGGAGTTTGTGCATACTTCCTCCTCAAACCCCCACCTCCTGATCTACCTTTTTTCTTGGACAGTAGCAAACCCAATCCCGATCGCATCCCAATCCCATTACAGGATAAACACAAACACCTTCACTGGAGCAGATGGCCTTGATTAGTAGGTCAGTGTCTCACACACTAACTCCAGGCTCCTAGGTGGAAGAAAACTATTCCTGATGAGAAATTTGTCTTCTGGGGAGTCTCTGCAGTGAATTGGACATACAAAGTCACTCCAACAATCCCATTTGGATTTAGTCCATTTGGCTATTTTCCTGTAGATATTTGATAGAAATCCATAGAAACGTTTCTTAAATGGTAGTCAAATTGGTATGCTTAAAAAATATGTACATTAGTGTTAATAAACATTAATCCATTTTCAGTCTACTTGTCCTTCTGAGGAGCATGCATTTATAAATATATTCTCTGAATATTCACTTTATATTAAAAATATGTAACTAAAATCAATAGAAATATAATGTTGGACATGAATTTCTTTATTCCAAAAGACCATCCTCAGCTTCCAGCCTCACAGAGCCATAAAAAAACATAAGATCTTCTGTTCTCATTTTTAAGATTAGCTCTTTTACCTACCTTTTCTTATCCCAAAGGATTGTGGGAGTAAGAACAAGCTACCGGGATATGTTGTTGAAGCCGATATCCAGGTTTCTTTCAGGGAGTAGCTGGATGAGGTCCTAGGATCACTTAGGTACTAAATACCAAACAGACTAGATGGGCCAAATAGCCTCCTCTAGTTTGTAACCTGATTTTTGTAACATGTTTAACATGTCTTCGAGGTCTTGAAAGACGAATGTGACTGAAAGTGCAGTTCCCTGGTAACACAGAACAAGAGATACAAGAGTATTCAAAAGCCGCCAGCTTGTCAGGTACTTAGGCTAAACAGCTGAAAGGCGAAAGAGAATACGAAAGAGAGAGGAGTGGGCAATTTGATTGCTTGTTTCAGTAATTAGGCTGTATAACTGCCAGCTGGGCTGGTCTCAGGTACCAGTGGACACCATGGGATAGGGTTTGACAGCACAGCTTCCCTTCTTTTGAGGTTCGAAGAGAAGGTGAAGTGGGGCTGAAGTGTTCCCCATTTCCACCCTGAGGTGCCAATCCCATCAGCTGTGTGGCATTTGCAGGGATTGCGGATTAAGAGGAGCTGGCTCCGGGTTCTTACTCACAGCTTGTTAGTGTGTATTTGGCTGGTAATCGGATAAGAGCCGGAGATTCGGTTGGTTCCAAGTTCTTCCAATCCAGCACTGCCCTGTCCCTGAGTGTGCGGGCCTCTGGCAGGACCTCAGACACGGACAGTCCTCACAGGCAGGATGGAGAGCTCTCTCTGCTGGTTTAGCTTTCTTGAAGCTCAGGTTAAAGTCTGTGCATGCCAGTCCTAAACTTCCTTGAAAGTTGTCTTGGATCAACTTGTCCTTTTAAAAAATGGGTAAAAAATGCTCTTATTAAAATGCCTCAGTAGAGTTGCCATTAAAGATGTTTATTTTTCCGTACATTTGTGTAAAGAACCATGAAATTGACAGGCAAAAGCAAACACATGGTATGAGTATGGTATGCACCAGAGACTGCGGAAACACAGTGCAGGTCACTCAGTAACACTGTGTGAGGATATGCTCCTTGTGGCCAGCGTGTCTCTTGACCTGCTCTGTTTATCAGCATGGGCAGCAATGTTCAGTGTGGGGTCTCAGTCGCTGAGATGTGATCCATTAGGATTGTAACAGACGCACAAGGCTATTAGCTAAATAAGGAAAACCTGCGTAAGTGTGTAAGTGATGGGAGATTTGGAAGCTGAGGGTTTGTGTCTTTTAGAGGACAGGGGAAAACAGTTGATTGGCTTCTGGACACGCGGGACTGGGAATCAGTTTGTCGCTGTTAATTTAAAGGATTGACTTTCAAGGTTTTTGCTCCAGTCTGAAATTAAATTGATTTTGTATGAACACATCCATGCATGTATTCATACAGTACAAATAAACGTTGCTTTGGGATTTTAGGAGGACTGAAGCAGAGACAGAAAGATGAGAACAGATTTTGTGCCACAGCACAGGTCACTCCTCTTTTCCTGTAAATGCCTCAAACACCTTGCAGCCTTCAAGACAGAAAAGCTTCCCTTCCTAAACAATCAAAAACCTTTGCAGTTGCAGCAGTGAATAATGAACAGGACTCGGGCAGGAGATAGCTTGCAGGCAGTGTCATTAAAGGCATCTAAGGAGGAGTATGAGATTATTCTGGTCTGTATGAGAGGACACTACCGTGTGTCTTTAGCTCACAGATCACTGACATCCTCTTTAACTCTCAGCTGCACTCAATAGGCTGCCAACAAACCTGTGACGGAGAGGAGAAATGACCTTTGGACAATACCTTATAATTTCCATTCTCTCACAAGCCAAGAGGTCTCTCTATGCTGGCTAATTAGCATCACTGTATTTTCGACAGCACACTGTACAGTGGGATTACCTGCTGTTGTACAGCAGTGGCACATTAGTTTATAATTGCTAAGTACTAAGTACTGTGGCAGTCAACTACAAACATTAAAAACACAGTAGAGCCTGATAAAAGAAAGCCAAAGAATATTGCAGGATGGTATGGCATGATACTAACTACATAAAACCATGGCAAGTATAGGAAGGGTGTGAGACACGAGAAAATCATGAAAGGGCTCTGCAATGTGAAGCAGCAGAGGGGAGTAGCGGTTGTTCTGGACTTGCAACTGTAAGATACAAGGTGAGTACAAATCCTGGGTTGGACACTGTTGCTGTTCCCTTCAGCAAGGTCCTTGCTCCAGTGAGATACCCAGCTGTGTAGGTGGGTACAAATGTAGGCTGCTTTGGATAAAAATATCAGCCAATTAAATAATAATTTCACCATGGTTACCTGTCCATTCAGTTCTCTTGATCTCAAAATCTTCTTCAACAGAAATCAAAAGTTACTCCAGATATCCTACAGAGACTGTGGCATGTGCAAGACTGAAATGAAGCAGGTCAGCTTGACTCTGGGTGTGCTTTAGAGGAATGTGCCTCGCAGTGAATTGATAGAGTGGTGAGAAGACGTCCTTAGGCAAGGCCGTTGACCCAGATCTTAATTGCAAGGATGTGCCAGAATAAGGTCAATAGCCAGTTGGACTCAAATAAAATACTTACGTAAAGCAGCACGTCACAAAAAAGAGCTTTCGCAGACAGGTCACCCTTGCCCACGTTTCCGGGCGCAGGCGAGCGACGGGGATCACGAGCTGGAGATTGGGGGCACCGGGCGGAAGTACTGGCATCCAGAAAGCTGTGCCTCCAGTGCTTGAGCAGCTGCATGATCAAGGCTGTCCATTTCTCCCTAAACCTGCAAATCTCCCACGGCAATCCCTTTAAGCAAAATTAGAGTCTTAATTTAGGTATGGGCCAGCTAGCTGATTAGGGGCTTCTTAAATCATCAGTTCTTCTCAATCTCCTTCCCCTTGACACGTTCCCCCCCTCGGATTGCGTCAAATCCCTGGTGGCGCTGCTTGAAAATGGTATAAAACCCATGGATGGCACCCTTGGCAGCACACGGTCTAGGCACCACGCCGGTCTGGAGGAGAGGAGCAGGAGCACAGCCGTGAACCAGTCAATTTCCGCCGGTACTGCCTCTGACAAGGCTTTTCCCTCTTTGGTTTCTTTTCTGATTGAATCCCAAATCTGCACGCCCATTACTGAGAGTGGCGTTTTCTTGCTGATCAGGCCACTTTTTACCTCATTCTTCGAAGATTTCTACTCGATTGATTGCTCAGAAACGAGATAGGGATCAAGAAAGAAATTGATCGACCACAACAAAAATGAATGGCACAGAGGGTAACAATTTCTATGTACCGTTTTCCAACCGAACGGGGTTGGTACGTAGCCCTTTTGAGTATCCCCAATACTACCTGGCGGCACCCTGGAAGTTCTCCACGCTGTGCGCCTACATGTTCCTGCTCATCATGCTGGGCTTCCCCATCAACGGCCTGACGCTCTTGGTCACCTTCAAGCACAAGAAGCTCCGGCAGCCCCTCAACTTCATCCTGGTCAACCTGGCAGTGGCTGGGCTTTTCATGGTGTGCTTTGGCTTCACCATCACCTTCTACTCAGCCATGAACGGCTACTTCGTGTTTGGCCCCATCGGCTGTGCAATTGAGGGCTTCTTCGCCACGCTAGGAGGTGAGGAGGGGTGGAAGAGGGAGGTCATGCCTTAGGGGGAGCCTAAAAGAAGAATAAATTATTCATGTGAAATATCAGAGGAATATGAATTTCCATAAAGAGGCAGAATTATAGAATAATGGTGTGGTTATAAAATGTACAGTGAGATTTCATGTGCACACATGTATACTGTATGAGAAAAGGGGGTATTAATAACGGGGATTATCTGGTACTATAACTGTAGGTTAACTTAATGATCTTTGCACACCTCATAAAATTATAAATTTCCCTTGATGTTCTTTGCACGCCACTGCCTTTTCATGCCAAGGACAGATATCATACTCATTTCTTGGACGAGAGGATGATGGATGTGTGGTACTGTGTTATCTATCTGTCATGTGCCATTCAGATGCTCAGAGACAGCAATGGGTAGAGTGATTACAGCTCTATAAACATTAGGTTTATAGCAATGATCCCTGCCCTGATGCTGGAAAGTGGTGGCAGTGGTTATATGTAGTCCAGTCTGCCCTTTAAACACAATGACCCTCTTTGTTCTGTCTGTCTAGGTGAGGTGGCTCTCTGGTCTCTGGTGGTCCTGGCCATTGAGAGGTACATTGTGGTCTGCAAGCCCATGGGCAACTTCCGCTTCTCCTCCACCCACGCCTTCATAGGCATCATGTTCACCTGGGTTATGGCATTCTCCTGTGCAGCACCCCCCTTGATCGGCTGGTCTAGGTATGCCTTGAGCTCAGGGAACCTCAATGAAGGAGAACACATCTGTATGCGTAATGTTTACTCAGGTTATCTGGTTCTGTTTCTAGGTACATTCCAGAAGGCATGCAGTGTTCCTGTGGGCCTGATTACTACACTATGAACCCCCAGTACAACAATGCCTCCTACGTCATCTACATGTTTGTTGTGCACTTCTTCATTCCTGTCGTTGTCATCTTCTTCTCGTATGGGCGTCTCATTTGCAAAGTCAAGGAGGTAAGCATAGAGCATGGAACACAGCTCATGGGGGGAGGGTAACCAAAAGGTTCTGGATCTGTAGGAATTAAGATATCTCAGTCAGAGAGAAAAACAGCAGCCAAGTTTCATGTTTGTGTTTGCATTAAAGTTTACTAATCCTTTTTTAAGGCAAAGGGAGGGTAAGGCTGACCAATTTCTATACATGGCATAAGTATACTGATTAAATGGAAAGCTTCTGTGCAAATGTATGGTGGCTAGACTGAGAGTGAGTGGGACTGAGGGTTCCAGAGACACGCCCCCTTGCATCTGGAGGTGTGGCCCTGACTTGGCCTACACTTTTCACTCCTCCAGGCTGCAGCGTCCCAGCAGGAGTCAGCCACGACTCAGAAGGCAGAACGGGAAGTAACGCGCATGGTGATCCTCATGGTGATTGGCTTCCTAACGGCATGGGTACCCTACGCCAGCGTGGCCTTGTGGATCTTCCTGAATCAGGGGGCCGACTTTTCTGCCACCTTCATGACCGTCCCCGCCTTCTTCTCCAAGAGCTCTTCCTTGTACAACCCCATCATCTACGTGCTGCTCAACAAACAGGTACCTCAGACCAGCTTTGACCAGCTGGGGGGCCAGAGGGGCACTTCAGCCCTGCTGCTCTGTGTGCATGAAACATTCCATTCCCCTTCCCTACACCTAAAACCACTGGTGCTTTTCTATTGAAATACACCTGCCTTTATGCACACTATTACTGCCTGTGCCACTGACAAAACCATGGTCCAAATGCTTTTATTTCATTCCATTGATTGATTGATCAGGTGCCACGTATGTGTAACAAAGTTTGGGAATGCATCAGCGTTATACACAATTTAGTAAAAAACAGTAGATTATGTGAAATATCACAGGAGGTACAATTTTTGGGACACAACTTTAATTTTGTCATTTGTGTTCATGCAAGTATGTGGCTGTGCATGTCTGGACCCTTTGGATGGCAGTGCGGACAGGCTACGGTCTCATTAACCCTTGCTCTCCTCTGCTGTGCTGTCCCTCATCTCCCTTTCCCTCCAGTTCCGAAACTGCATGGTCACCACCATCTGCTGCGGGAAGAACCCCCTGGGTGACGACGAAGTCTCCTCCACAGCGTCCCAGAGCAAGACAGAAGTGTCATCAGTGTCTTCCAGTCAGGTGTCCCCGGCCTAGACCTGGCTCCATCCCTCCCACCAGCCCCTCCCACCACCCCACCCCTCCTGGCTTGTCGATTTGTCTAATTTTCATTTGCATGAACTGCAACCAAAAAGGGAAAAAAAAGAAAAACACATGTATATTTATATGGATATTTTTATTTGTCAATAAAACCAGCAGGCTTGAAAAGGCGATGATCTTTTTGCTTTCGAAGAAACCCACCTGTCATCCATCCATTCTATTAGTCCTCCCACTCAGCCCAGCTCCACCGATTCCACAGCTTCGTCTGAAAGAGCTCTGCTACTCCCTGTTCAGGTTTGCTTTTTACAAAGAAGAAACCATCATTTTTGTAACCAGTTTTCTTTGTGTTTGGTGAGTAGCCTGACAGCCACATGTGCTTTGGGAAAATTAGCATCCTGGATGATATGGAGTAAAGGGGGGTCTCCTGAACAGGTTCAATCAACAACACAAAGAAGAAAAGTCAAGGACACCATTGGCAAGGCATGACGTCATGTTGCTGCAGGCAACCCTGTGCATCTCTGCCAGACACACAGCTCATGTCCTGGCTCTGATGTCCCTGGACAGAGCACCACTCCAAGTGTTTTGAGGTTTTTCTTCTAGACATCCTTATGGACGTTCCCCACAGAAAACCAGCAAAGTGTTTCTGCAGGTTTCCCACATTTCTGCCCTGGAAGTACTTACTTGGTGTAATGTCTTGAGTGGCCACACTTCTCTGTACTACACTGCCTTCACTGAGCTTCACTGCACTTTGCTGTGTTTGACCATAATTATATATGTATAGGCTGTCAACCATAGAACATTTCAGATATCAGTGTTTCTCTGTTATTTTCTTATGAAGGTACAGGATTTCTGATATTGAGAAAATGATCTGAGGTATCAAAAATTCTGTTCTAAATGCAAATGCTGATACCAATAAAAAGAGCTGTTGATGTTAATGAACTTTTTTTTAACATGATCTGAGGATCTTGGTCACGGCTGGTTTCATTCTCATCAGAAGGCAGCCAAAAGAGAGGGATGTCTATTGAAACAACAACTCGTCGATTACAGAGCGGGGACTTTCTGAGATGCTTGACATGTATCTTTTAGGTGGACACTTAAAAATCTGTGGAAAGAAGTGAGGGGGTAATGAAAGTGAAGGCAGTGGTGAGGGTACTCCTGTGCTCCCTTGGGCTTTGCTTTGATGCTGTGGATCTGGAGACTGACTGACTGGTCATTGACAGAAGCTGTAGAGCCTTCTCCTCCTGGGTCCAGCGGGACACCGGGCTCAGCCAAGCAAAGCCCAATTGAGCTCCATGCACTGCGAATAGCCCCCATAAACCTGGGAGAGCCGGAGCGCAAGCCAACACACATTGAAAGGGAAATCTTGACGTGACTTTCGGGATGTTTTGTATTTCTGCTGTTAGTGACATGGGACTGTGGGATGTCGCAGTGCTCTAGGCTGTCCTCTAGGCTCATTCTGTATATCAAAAACTAAAACTCACTCGTCTCCCAAGTCTCCAGGTGTTGCCTGTACAAGAGGCTTCATTTCGGCTCTGCAAGCTGCATATCCGTTTGTTGCTTCTTTCTTGTTTTTATTGGGGTTTTTTGTCACTGTGCGAATGATTCCTCGGTTTGACCATGTCACCATTGCTGTATATATTTTATAAATAACTTGTTTCATGTTAATTTGTAAAATCAAAGGATAGAGGTAAATAGGTAAATAAATGCATGCATCACAACCTGGGGATGTCTGTTTATTAAAATGTGTCTGATGGGAGGGTGAGAAGGTTCTCCTGTTAAGCAAGGCCCATAGAACTCTTTCCCTTCAGGGCCTCAGCATGTCCTGGCCATGGTGAAAAAGAATGTTTTTCCATTCATTTGCATGGTCTGTCATTTAGTCTTACAAGGGACAGAGGCAACAAGGCTCCCCTGTCTAAAAGAAGAAAAAACACTAAGAACAGGCCCTATGACAGCTCATGAGGGGGGATCAGTGAGGTCACAAGTCCCCACTACAGACTTGCAGTGGACTAGAGAGTCCAGCCAAAAACTCCAAGAAGAAAACAGAGTCCTCCAAAACTTCAAGTTATCAGCTGCAAGGTCACAGTCAGACAGCTTAGTCTGGTGTGGCTGGGGGGAGGGAGGTTGATGCCATGCTGCAATGGGTCACTTTGTTCTCTTCCTTTCTTTGCAGGAATTAGTTATTTCACTTCCTGCTGTCATACAACAAATAAGGCTACAATTTATATTTTTTTCTAGGAGTGACCGGGGCAGGGGGAGGGAACTTATTTGTGGTGTCAACAGTAGTGTTAACAGAAGCTGGCTGCACACTTTGGCTTGTGCACCAGTAAATAGCATGGGGCCTGTGCTAAGCATGTGACTTAATCCTTTGTAAAAATAGAGGAGCAGCTTACAAAATTTGAGACAACGTGCCACTCAAAACCAAGTGTCTGTACCAAATTAATCCTGGTATTTGGTAACCTTAGTTTTTTAACATCCCTGAGCCATTCAACTGCCACTACGATCCTTTAATGTTTTAATATTAATTAAAATTGCCATTTTGACATCATTTGCCTCGTTTCCAAGCAAATTGTACAACACATCACAGCTCATGTCACTTTTTCAAGTCTCTTAATATAAGAATCTATTTCTAGAGAACATTAATAAGCCTCTCCTATTGCTGTATTTTAAGATTAATTGAAAATACACTAGTATTTTTAAGCTAGCAAGTACATAATGTTGTACATACGAACATCAGATAAACTTTCATTACAAAAACTTGTATTCTTTACCCAGTGTCCCTTGCAACTCCAGGAAAACGGGAATGACCACTTTGGAATCTTTCGTTTCAGGATATTAATTTCGACATAAAAGCCGAGGAGGAACGACAAGAATAGCACACATTGTGAATCAAAATTAAGCAAAAGAAATAAATAAAAATGCTGAGTTTTAAATTATTTGTTTTTAAAGACGCATAATTTTAACGAGTTAGATCAAAATAATAAGGATGAGGATTTTAATCGAATCGGCCAAAGCGTAATAAACCTTGGACGCCTTAGGGTCTGATCGGGAAGTGAAAAGTTTGCAGGTCTTTGAGCAGGTGGATTGAAGCTAGGAACAAAAATATAAAGTCACGTTTCTGATGAGTTATTCATTGTGCGGTAAGTGTAAAGGGTGAATTATATTAATTAGATGGTATGCTTGATTAAGTCATGGTGGAGCATTTCCAAAACGTTTGCATTATATCATAGCGGTCTACTCCATCCTTGTTATTAATTACAAATAATTGGTGTTGGTATTGGTATTAAAGATCCAGTATTACTGTTTATTTGTTATTTCTCATTCTCGCAGTTGAACCCTACGAGGATGAAGAGAAAGGCATTTTCACGGGATTTGGGATAACAGTTTCGTGTTTGCCTTGAGTGTTAGACACGGAGATAGTCGCATCCTGAAAAATAAAAATACAGCATACAGCTTTTGAATTTTGCAACTTTTATGCAATTTCCGGGTTTCTCTGTGGTTTGAGGTGGAGGAAGCTGACTGGCACGCAGTGTGGAAAGACGTGCTGAAATGCAGCTTTAAAAATATTAAGCATACCTGCATAAGCATATCGCAGGTGCTGTCGGTCCGGCTGGGGGGTTAAAACAGGGAGAGAGTGGCTGGAACCTAGCCACGATGATCCATTCTGAATCGGAAAGCGCTGGAAAGTGCAGCCTGGGCCTCTGCCGCTGGTAACTAGTCGAAGACGCGGTCCAGGTCCCCAGAACCGAGCTGCTCCGCATTTGCAAGAGGGACAGACACGGAGCCTCGCTCGCCATGGGGATGGCACCCAGCGAGCCGTGCATTTACGACAAGCTCTCGGAAAGCATCGACATCTTGAGGCAGTCGGGGTATCGCTACGGGATGTCGGAGAGGGAGATCGAGAAGTTCATCAAGCAGGTCCTGGAGACCAACGAGCCCCGGAGGGAGCCGCCGCAGTTCCCCGTCCTGCGAGCTACTGTGAAGGTGAGAGGAGTCTTAATCCTAAGACTCGTTAACCATCTCGTACTGCCCGTCTTCCCTTGATGTACCAGGAAAGTGGTGCCACCTGTAAAAATCTGCTGTGTGTAAATCGTGTTTAGACTCCTCATACTGCCAGTGGGATAATACGGGGGATTGTTTTATTTTATTATCTTAAAAAACTGGAATATTACGATGCAATTCTGTATTGTTCCTCTTGTGATTAATTCACATATCCAGACTTTTGTTTGAAATACTAGAAAAAGGAAAATTCAAAGCCCATGTCAGGCTCTGCAAGATTCTCTGGTGGTCGTCTTGTCCTTCATCCCTGAAGCCAAGGCGTTTGACTTTATAGTTTGGAACAGTTTTGCAAACAAGAGGAAAGTCCTTTGGCTCATTCAGATTGTTTGGCTTTTCGGAAACTAGTTTGCCGGAGGATCTTATTCAGCCATTTTGGGAAAGAAGCTGAGGTATCGGCTTAGAGCACATAGGTGGACAGTTTGTGCCAGAGTCCCCCAAGGCTGCATTCGGATTTATCCATCTGCTCCTACAACACACAAGAGTATGTGTGTCACAGCACACTGTAACTTCATTACAGTGTAAAGCACTTCTAGGTGGCATATGCATAGGATAAGCTCTATATCTAGTGAGAGATTTACACCAGTGACAATTTATTTTTAATGTTGCAATTTCATTATTATTTTTGGGACGGTGGTCACAGTGACTGTAATGGCCAAAGCTTTTATGGGAACTTATTAAAGCAACAATCTGCGGCCCCATTAGAAAGATGCAGTTTTGTTGCCACATCCCCCAGTAGCACCTGCCTGTTGGGTTGGGCTGCACCACAGCTCCGAGAGAGCAGCCTGCGGTCTGCTTTACTACTGTCCTGGTGGTGTGCACAATTGAAAATAACCAGAAACTTATAGGTGGTTTCCAGTTAGCGCTTTAAAAAGTGGTAACACTGTGAGGCTCTGGAGAGAGGAGTCCAGTTCAATAATTAATGCCAGATGTAATGAACTGACAGGTCAGCTACCCCAGAACGTGGGAGATGATGTATCCCTCCAACGGCGATCCTCATCCTGCAGAAGGATCTGCAAAACCCTGTAATGCTTCAGATGGCTGTGTAAATTAAGATGTAATAGGATCTATTGATCATCAATTTACTCTCAATTGAGGTTCTAATAAATTCTTGACAGATATGCAGTACTTCTGAGGTTAAGCAGAAGTTAGGGATAAATTGAGATTGGTATTAACACTATCATGTGTCTGTAGAAGCTTTATTCACATTTTATATAGAACCTCATCTGATAGTAAATTGATTTTTAATGAATATCTGTTGATCTGTTATGTATACAATACATAGTTCTTGCAGGGGAGATGGGCAGCCCAGTACGCCCTCTCTTCAGATCCACAGTGCATTGGTCTCCCAGTCATGGGGCTCCACCAGCATCTGCTGGTCCAAAGGTCTCAGGATAGCAGTTGGTTCCTGTAGTGTGTGAAGCCTTACTGCTCAAAGGTCTTCAGACCTGCGAGAAAGATTAAAAGAGTCTAAAGTGTCTCTTCTCTTTCTGGGTCATAGCTGACTATGGAGATAAGCATAATTTGCTTATATATATATATATTTCATCTTGACCACAGTCTTGAGTTTTGTCTGAGTAAGAAAATGTTTGTTTTGAAATTCATGAAGAATTTTGCCTGATGCAGTTGTGCCTGTTATGCTACAAAATTTAGAGCCTTTACAAAGCTGCACATGTTGTAAATAGTGTTGAGTAACATTGTATGTTTCAATTAATTAACAAGTGCACCATGTAATTGGAGTTTTTAGGATTAAAACAGTGAAGTGAATTTGGTTTTGAATCCCTCTTCCACTGCAAGAGAATCTGTCTGATTTGTCAAATGTCTTCCCTACTGGTAGTGTATCTGCTCACTCTCCTCTTTATAAATTCCAGAATATTCTGTTCACAGCATGTTAATTGTAAAGATATAACTAATCCTCATCAAGGTGAATATTCTTCTTTATACAGGATGGCTTGTATGTTTTGATTTTTTCCCTAACATTTCCCCCTACTACTCAGTGAGACTTTAAACACTTCTGTATATGCTTTGTTCTGTGAGATCGTTTTGCCCGTTATTTTACACGACTGATATATTTAACCAAGTTACGCTGATTTCAAAGGCATGGATGTTGGGCCAGTATGTTGTCTTTTCTCCTTATTTTCTGTTTTGTTCAGTTTGTAGTTGCAGTGGGGTTCCTGCTGGTGGCAGTGTTGGCCTTTGCATACCCTCACAGTACCCCCCAGCTGGACTTGGAGCTCACGGGTGCACACAACTGGTCCTCGCCGCTCAGCCACGTGCGGCTGCTGTCTCTGCCCATCGCCAGGAAGTACAACCTGGAAGGTAAAGCAGAGTTGCGCTGTCTTGTTGAAAGCTATGGGAGAGGATACAGTGCTCCTCAGACCGCCATGTAGGCCAGTCTAACACTCTTCTGGCTCGTGATGGCACACCTTGCTTTGTCAGGGATACTTCAAGCTCAGGAGTTTAGTCATACAGGGGGCTGTTTTCTGTCTGTATATGAAAATCCCAGGCTTTCTCTGGAACACTGAAAGAATGTGGAGATCTCTTTTTTGCTAAAGCTGGGCTTCTCCACTTCCTGGAGGGGTGTCTATCGCCCTGCCAGTGGACAGTACTTGCAAAGCCTATTCCTGGGTTTAACAACCACACTCCAGTGATTTCTTTACAATGAGCTAATCCTGCCGGATGTCCCACCACCTCAACCCCCTGCCCTCCACCCCGCCCTCCTCTCTCACGCAGGGTGTCCTATGGTAATGAGGTCAGCTTGGGGGTTGCCCTGTGTGCTGTCTCCTGCAGAGTTCCACGAGTGGTGGAGCGTGATGGTGGGGGGGTGCGGGTTGGCACCAGTGAACTGCTCGGGCTGTGCGGCCGTCACTGCAGTCCTGGAGGTGTCGGACATGCACGGTGTCCTGCGGGGCCCCCAGCCCGTCCTCTTCAAGGTGAGCCACCGGCGCGTGCTGCGTTTCCAGGCTTCAGTCTGCGGAGGCATTCGTTCGGTACCAGGCCAGCTGCGGGATAAGTTATATTAAATGGTAGATGTGATTATATATTTCGTAGCAGTTGTTTATTTTAAAAATTGCCTGGGGGAGGAAGAGAACAAAGGAGGGCACTGAGGAACTGAACTGCAAGTCTGCTGCAGTAGGACAATACGGTTTAATTTACACATGTCTGGTTGGCCCTGACCTCTGCAAGCAGAGTTGTCTCAAGCCAGTTTTACAGTAATGCAGGTAGTCTCGCGGAGGAAAGGATTACCGCCATGTGCTACTGACTACCTGGTTACCAGGTAGCCTCTTGACCAGTTTGACTTTTTGATTGTAAATCGCAGCTTGGCATTTAGTGCCAGAAGATCTATTTTCAGTCTGTACCATTGTCAGAGCCAGGTCCACAATCTCTTGGCTCCAATCCAACCTGCCAGTAATGGTGCTTCCATTCCTTTTCGGATCTGTGCTGCTCGGTGTAGTTTCTCATGCCAAAAGAGTTTCCAGCTGGACCTGTAGTTCAGTAGTGTTGTCTGTGTTTGGAGTTTAGAAATCTCTCACAAGGGTTTTTGGGTGTCTGGAATAAGCTGCCTGGCCAGGGAGTTGGGAAGCACTTCAGGAAATGGCCGGATGAATTTCTTCAGTACATTGTTTCCTCTTGTTCCTAGCCTCTCCCGTGCTCTGGTGTTGCAGGGAGGAGCAGAGCTGACTCTGACCTACGAGCACCTAGAGCAGCTGTTCTCCAAGCACAGGGAAGCCATGGGTGTCTGGGTGGCAGAGAAGGGGAATAAGATGGTCACAGCACAGAATTTCCCTCCGGAGACGGCCAACTTCACTGTGTTCTGGTATCTTCGGTTCTCAGGGTTTGGGGGAAAAGGGGGTCTCGCACAGCATGGGAACTGCCAGCTTGTGTACTGAGCCCTGTTGCCTTATAATGAGCGCTCACCCTGACAACACTGCCCACATATGGGCGTGCCAGCTCTGCTTGGTGCTCAGTGTTACCATGGTTCTTGCATTTACGTCAAAAGCAGCTGACAGACACAACACTTACGCCATAGCCTTGACTAAGATCAGGGAATTTATTTCTGGTGCAGATTATACTGTTTATTAAAAAGGGCTTTCATTTTTTTTCCCCTTAAAAAGTAACATGTCTATAATATTTTATAAAGTTACAGACTGGTTTGGCATGTTGCAGTTAATTAGCAGAATAAAAACATGCACATAAAGATCTCCAGATTTGTGTCAGGCTCAGGGATTCACGGGTCAAGGTTAGGCTCTGTGGTCTGCAGACCCTACATTTAATCAGTGATGAGTACAACAGGTTTGGAGTCTACCAAAGTTGTGCATGACACTCCAGTGCTTCAGAAGCCCCTCTGTCAGGGCTGTTTTGCTACTGCTGGTGAAGAGCACAGTCTGGGATAGACTTGATGTGTCTCTGTCTGTCAGGAAAGGCGATGCTCGGAGGCAGGAGGAGGTGCTGTGGTCACTATTCCCAGGGATGGATCGCTACCCTCTTGTGGACAGTGAGGAGATGTCACTGAAGCAGTGCAGGATCACACACAGCCCAGAGTCACAGAGCCAGGTGAGCACTGGCTGGGTTGTGGGCCTCTGGGGTGTTCACACACTGCAGGATTGTCATGATCTTTTCTGCTTTTGCCAGTGTGGCATGGTATTCTTTGAGATTTTTCCAGCAGGCCTACAGGGTTGTCAGTTCAGTACTATAACTGTCATGTATGGAAAATAAGATTAAGTGCTTTGCATTGTGGCCAGTTACCGTGGTGAATCATGTATGAAGAGTGTGACCTTCTCTTATAGCCCAAAGTCAGCTGTGCAGACAGTGCATTACAGTAAAAAAATATTTTTATAAAGTGAAGTATTATACTCCATTAAAAGCAGTCATCTAGTGAGGAGATCCTAAGGAAAAGTATGTGTTGTGCTTTATGGTGTGTTGTTAGCGTGTTATGCAACGTGTAGTACATGTGTTTTGTGGTGTTATGCATGGTATTGTAACTGTATTGTAAGCATGTAATAAGCGTGTTGTGTGGTGTGTTCCAGGCCCAGCGCATGCACCGGTGGTTGGTGGTGACCCAGGGATTGCCCTTGCTCCGAGTCATGCCTGTGCGCCGCTGCCAGAGGCTGTGCAGCTCCTTCAGCGTGTGGCTGGGTCCTGGAGACATTGGTGAGCATGGCACGCTGCTCTTTCAGCTGTCTGTCGCTCCTGCATGTGCACCTGGAAAGGTGTGTTCACTGTTCCTTTATGAATGGTGCACTTCAGTACATAAACATAAGTAAATGCTTTAGAAGTGCCTTAATTAGTCTGTGTGTATGGTAAGGATGCCTGTTGGTAAGCCATGAAAGTGTCTTCTGCACTCTTTGTATCTACAAATACTAATGAATCTCATCCATCACATATGCATTTAAGGCAACTACAGGTTCTGATGGAACAGATGCTGCAAAAATAGCTGATTTAAGTTTTATATTTCCCCTTTATGTCATGTATGGATAGTCTGCATTTGTGTTGCTTGGATGTGTCTGGAGGGCATGGGGTGTCTCAATCCTGCTTTTAGAGCAGTTACACGAGACACTAGGCAAAGCCTTCACACAAAGTTTGAGTTTTGTGCAGATATTGTGTAAAGCATAGCAAAAAAACTAGAACCTTGTGCTTCATGTAACTGGCTTTGGGTCACAGCAGGGACATCTTTTCAGCGTTGTCAATCAATGAACAAGACAGTTTCCCAATTATTCCAATTAACATTTCACCGACAGCTTTTGAAGGGAAGCTGCTGTCATATGCAACATTCCCTGATGCCAGTTCTGATGGTGTGGCCCCCGCTGATAATCTCAAAGGGTGTGCTCATATCCTGTCCCCCTTGGTGGTTCCTAGAGAAAAAAAGCTCTGATTTAGTGAGCAAATTCTACATATATTTGCTGTACCTCACATTTAAAGACACACATTCCATTGTTCCTGGAATTCTGGACAATCCTCCTTGCCGAACATAGTCATGCTAAACGTCTTATGCTTAGTATCCTGCCTGACTAGGCTGAAGTGGAGAGGGTACTTGCTTAATTCAGCTTCATCCAAGACTGCCTTAGAAAAGTTTACAAGAACGCTATACAAACTTAGGCTACACAGGTCTTTTGAAGACTGTTTTTTTTAAGCCCACAAATGCCTCAGTAGCTTGTTCCAGTTATCTAACGTCTGTTTTTATAAGCTAGTAGTTTTACGTTCCCAATAGTAAGCTGGGTATTCAAATGAGAAAGTACTTCCTGGGGGAGTAGGGAAGTATTGTTTTCTTAAACTTGGAGGTTCCGTTACAGCTCAGCAGCAAACCACATTAAATTCTTTCCAGTTTTGTGCTCTTTTATCTACCAAAATAAGCCTAGATATTCACCTAATTTGAGCCATTCTTCTGCAACATTTTTCACCCATTTTTGCTGCTAAATTCCTGAGATGAAAAGGTGAAAACCGATATCTCTTACGTTAGTAAAACTTGGGTGTCTGCAGTCAATGCGGCTCCCCTTGTTGACAGACCCGTCAACAGGAAGTCCAGAGGACTTGGGCTAAGAGCTGTGCATTGGGGAGAGATTTCAGCCCTGCATGAAAGAGTTATCCCTGCCTCCTCAAAGTGTTTCTGACAGGCTTTTAGACTGGGGTTGGGGGATGCCTGAGAGAGAGGCGCGGTAGAGGAATGCAGGAGCTAGTGACTCTGGGGTAGGTCCATCCCGCCAGATCCATGTGGCTTCTGAGTGACCCTGTTCTTTTGTCTCTGCAGTCCACGCTGACCCTCGGTTCTGGCAGATGGATCTGTTCCCAGGCAGGGGGCAGAACATTGTTTGTGATGGCTCTGCCTTCTGACGGGCAGCCGGACGCCCACTGTATCCCGTCCTGCTGAGAGAGAGAGAGAGACCGCCGACAGGCGCTGACCCCGGCCTGGCCCACGCACCACAGAAGCTCTGACCCGATTGTTTTGGTTGGGCGGGGAGGTGATGTAAAGGCGAGCTCCCCCGAGAGTGCCCCGCGAGGGATCGGGTCGAGAGAGCTGAATGACATTCAAACAGCAAAATGTTATTGAGACCAAATGATTTCCTTAAAGATATAAATGATGGCTTTAAATCATAGGCCTGGACCAGCTTTTTTGATATAATTGACGTTGGTATTATGTCCCATACTGTCAGGAACGAGCCAGATTTTTCTTGGTAGATGATGGCCATTGGTGACTGGGTGCTTTCTGAATATTCAGCGACATGAGTTTTGTTTTATGTCTTTTATTCGGCATTTGATAATTGCAGGTGAATGTGTATGGTGGCAAAATAACAAAAGCCTTAAAAGCCAAAAGCTGTTTTACTGAAGAGCATCTTGCTTAATGAGAGAGTTTATATATGCTTAGGTGTAACTGAAGAAAGGTGGGCATGTGATTGATCTTTGTCGTCCTTCTAATGCTGCTGCAGAGAGTAGCTTTATTTTTCTTGAGCTTCAGTTTCCAGTGTGTGCCCTGTCCTGTTCCTATGGACAAGCTTTCTAGCTCAAAGAGATATAAGTGTACTTATTCTTTCCCAACAAGGAAAATTGCTGATGCGTATTGTTAATATTTTTCTTACATTTTTTAACATTGCTGTCCCAGAAACTCCAGTTTTCCCTTAATATTTAGGTAACTAAGATCCAGCACCTGTGAATGGTAGAAGACCAGGCAGCTGTTGTTTCTCTCTGACACTGGGGATTGTTATAATTGTGAAGGTTGAAAAGGAGGAATGCCCTGGGACGTACGTCTGTCCTGAGTGTTTTTGTGGTTTTTTGGCCTAACTGGGACTGGAGAATGACATCACTGTGCACTCCAGGGTGGAGCTCCACATCTGGAGCTATGACCTCATAATGTTTGCCAGATTCCTGGAGATCAGGACTCTGCTCTCCTCCTCTGGGAACCTCGGCTGCTCATTCCTATCCAGAACATCTGGATCACATCTTCTTGTTTTTGAGCCGAACCATATGATTTCCTTTCAGCTTTATCCTTAGAGGTTGTTAGGGAACTTAACCATGTCCCCTTGTTTGAGCGCCTGTGGAGTATTCTACAAGCTGTAGCAATGAAAAGGGAGATGAAGTTACAGAAGAAATCCTCTTCTGTCCCACCTTTGCCATTTTGTTCTTTAAAAATGCTATCGCTCTTTTCCGGGCCGAAAGAAGAAAAAAGGGTCAAGCTGTTTGTGTAGCTAAAGGTTTGGAGAGCAGAGCTGGAGGCCAAGTTATCCAATGGGTAGAGAAAAGGATCTCTTGCTAGGAGGCTCCTAGTTCAAACCCAAGCTATGCCCTTGACTCATTCAGCTGCTTACACTTCTTGTGCTGTCTTTCAGATTGTGCATCAGCATTATTAATGAACTGTTCACTTTCTGTGTAAGGCCCGCCTTTTGAATCACAGGCCTTGTTCACAGAGCTCGTGGGCTGTGATTTGGTGAACACTTTGCATGGGCTGGCCTTTTCATTGAGATGTGCCATCACCATGTCTTCTCACAGTATTGGTATGGTAGTGTTCAAGATGTCACTAGAATTCCTTCAGTGCAGGCCTACTATTGCTCACAAACACCAGAATCAGTTTTACTTTTGGAGCCATAATCATTTTGGGTAGTGATTAACCAAGATTATCATTAATAGTTTTTAATCGGTACAAAACATTTTCTATTGTCTCCTGATAATTGAAGCGTATGATCTTGTGCTCAGTGCAAAGCTGCAGTAGTGAAAATGATGGTGTGCCCTGTGTTTTGCTTGCCTTGTTAGTTTCTTGTTTATCAGTAGTTCTTGAGAATTTATTAACACAGGCACCTTGAACTCTTTCCTTCTGGACAAGTGCTGTGGGTGAAGTTTTCCCCTAATCTGCTGTTTGTATTGTAATGTATTTGGAATTGGACACTGTATATAGTTTAAGCCTTCTGAATATTGGATGTAAAAATGCTGTGGATAATGTATAAATATAAAAATCTTTTGTATGTAAGATATCTAATTGTTTTAATGTGTTCTTTTTTCATTTTTTCTGGAATCGCAGAATGTTTGGATAATGTTTATAAATAAATAATTTCTGTATACTTCTCTAAAACAGCCTCACTCTTTGTCAAGCAAATAACAGACTGATACGTTGTGAATTGTAACCATTTAGACCTCCTTTGACATGTTTGCTCATCCTGTGCCCTGGCAAGTGTACATCCAATGGTGCAATAGAGCCTGTCCTGGATGCATAAGGAGCAGGGTGTGAGGGGGTGCCTCATCCTGGACACAAAGGGTGCCAGGAGGGATGGGATGTGCTGGCTGGATTGGGGCTCCCTATCCTGGAGGAACAGGGCACCAGGTTAGATTAGATTATTCTTTATCGCCACACAACAATAGTTGATGGAATTTCCAAGCTGTTAGCTTGCAGTTTTGTCATTGTTGCATCTCTCCAGTAATGGGCTGTGTGGGACGTGTAGGGTGATAGTAGAAGCCTCTGGAAAAGCACTTGTTCATATTATCCTGCATCCTGCCAGTGTCACTGTTTAACAATTGGAGATGCCGCATTTTAGATCCACCTAACAGTTGTAAATCCAAGCTGCAGACAAGATTCTGTCTGCAAGAGGCTTTTGTTTTCTTGCTAGTGGTAGCAGGACGTCCAGTGCAGGGATTTTTATTTATTTTTGTTTTTGGCATGAATATGAGAGTTTTTATCCAGGCTCACATCTAAGGAGTAACTTGATATTGATAAATTTTTACCAGCAAAATTGCATAGTTTGCAACTGTTTTTATTACTTAAAAAGTTAATGTGAAGAATGGAGCTGTTTAGACTTGCTTTAAGAAAGATGACTAGGTCAGCTCACAGACCACCTGGTGCACGCTCATGGACCCCCAGTGGTCCACGGACCACACTTTGAGAGCCACTGCACTAGAAGAAGTAGGGTGGTGGATTTGAAACTTTATTTTTTAACTTAACCTGAAAGTGCAGATGTGTCAATGACTAGAGGAGGCGACCTGAAGACCTGGCGATTGATTGCTGCGCAGGTCGAAGTTGCAACTGTTTAAGGGAGCCGAGAGTCCCCCACCCCTTGTTCCTTATAAAGTTAAAAAAAAATGTTTTTGACCATCTGAAATGTGGGGTATATTACCGAGCCAAGAACATAACAATGGGGTAAAAAGTATTTTGATTTGTCTGGTTATTTTTCAGATTTGTTTTGCTTAATCATCAATGCCATTTTAATATACTACAGCTAGAACAGGACATGTCCTGCATTCCACAGGAGTCTTAGACCAGACCCATCCTACTTCTCTCACGCCAATAATCCTAAATTATTTAAACATTATTTAAAAGGACTGCGTTTGGGGATTACTATGCAGGTCGAACCCATGCCACTCAAGTTAACCAGGCATACCGTAGTCAGCTGCAATAGATTCTCTGTTGACTGATCTTCTGATCATTTGTTCTGCATGGACTTTGCCCCCGTGTATCTGAAACTTGGTTTTGAACTGATTTATTAAGTGTGAATAATATTGGTAGTTATGTTCCAAGGTTTGTTGTGTAGCCATTCAACCAGTGGTAGTGGAAGCGTCGTGTATTTTGTACTCTACAGGATAATTCAAATACGGTAACTTGCAATGGTAACTTATTGACACGGAAGGCAACATTGTAATATTAATCAAGGGGTATCTCTGGGGGGAATCGCCCACTTCTTCCCAGCAGGTCCAAGTATCCGGAGGAAGTGTGACCTGGCAGCAGTTGAATCTGTGCGACGGGGAGGTACTTTAACCTTGATCACTCATACTGTATGTTACCCCTGGGGCTGCCTTTTGCATCTGACAGTGTTTCTGGGGGCAACCCCTGGGGTAACTGTCTTCTCAGCTCTCGATCTAGGGCAGCCATTTTTCTATAAGGGCAACTCTTATTGCATACAGTACACCCAGTCACTCCTGGCAGTAGCTTTTTTTTTTCATGGAGCGGTTTAAGTTTCAGCAGGACAGAGGATAGGAACAACTGCAGTGTTGCACATTCTGTACTGTATGTCCCCTAGTCACATGCGATCAAGTGGGGTCAGAGACAGTGCTGTGGAAATGAGAAATGGAGGAGGCTGCGCAGAGCCTGAAGTGAACCTGAAGAACAAGAACACTGGTTGAATGGACCTCTTTCACTGCGCTGAGCCCAGCTCTAGACTTGCTGCCAATCTGCACAGATTAGGCTGAATAAATAAGTAGGTTCAAGATGGGATAATGCTTAATTCATATGGTTCAGGCACACATAAGCAAATGAATAACAATAATACCAACAACAGCACATAATGGATACCTCTGATTCACATAGCCTTCTCATTATATGCTTTTGTTAGGGCATGATTGGCACAAGAATAAGGGGGTCTGTTCACCCCTCCCCTCTGTAATTATTTACCAAATGCCAATTCTTCAGTCTAGGATGATTAGATTCCTTTAATAGCTGTCCTCTCTGATGAAGCTTGCAGTTTGCTTGCAGCTAACTGATAATTTACTCATTATAATTTCTGATGTGTGCATATAGTGTATATGGGCACTGGCCAGGATTTATGGGAAGGTAGGATGGTGGAAGCTTAAAGAAACAGTACTGATCAGGACTCAGTATCATGGAGATTGAAAGACCTGGATCTGACTACTCTGCAGGGTCTTGGACTGTGGCAGTGGAATAGATGCAGGAAAGCAGAAGTGCTGGCGAGGAATGTCCAAGACGTCATGGACAAGATGACCTCGCACAGGTGCAGCTGACTCTGCACTCCGGGGGAGTGTGGGGCACAGAATTGCATAAAAAGAGGAAGAGAGGAGGGGGCTCTTCCACTAAATCATCCCCGTCCTCTTGCTGTGCAATGTGAGATTAATCCTATGACTCAGAGCTTGCATGAAGTCTTTGCTTTAAAGAAGTGTAACTCTGTAAAGTGCTGAACTGAATGTGCCTCAGAGCCAGCACCTGGAGTTTCGGACTGGCTGCATTAATCTGGTAGCAGGAGCAGCAACACAGCCTCCTCTCAGGACAGGGTGTTCCTCCCTCTCTCCGGCCCTCCTTAAAACAAGCTGCCTGACTCTGAGCTGTGTAAGAGGCAGGCAGTCTGTCTGCAGCAGAGGGACAACATGCTCTGGAGTTCAGTGCTGTGGGCTGTGCTGGCTGGGCTCTGCCTGGCACAGGGTTATAAACTCAGCGAGGAGGAGAAGAAGACCATTGTGGACCTGCACAACCAGATGCGCTCCATGGTCAGCCCCAGAGCCTCCAACATGCGGGGCATGGTAAGAGAAACAACTGAAAGGACTGGCACAGAGCAATAGGAAGGATCCCATGTGTGAGAGCTACAGGCTCGGTGGGGATTTGCAGTTTTACTTGCATGTGGATGTCTGATATTGCTTTCTCAAACTGAGGTTGAATGGGCAGTAAAGGAGAGAGGGATGTTGGGGCAACTGCGGCCCCTTGTATTTCTTTTCACAGGATGCCCTGCTAATGCACTACTAGTGCACTGATATTTGCATGCCTCCGATCGTTTCTGGGTCCCTTGCTACTGCCACAGGTGGGCAGCTGAAGAGCAGGGACTCCGAGGTTCAAGGCTGTTCACGTCGTCCATGGCTCTCAGCCTTAGCCTTAAAACAACCTTTGCTTAACAAAAGGCTCTGATGCCTTCAGTGCAGTTACTGCTGTGGGGTTGCATTTGTGACACAATTAAAGAGTTAATTCGGGGACCTCTAGTGCTGACAGCTGCTGTCTTCAGTCTGGCTCCAGTATGATGGGGAGGAGTGGGTCTGTCTATGAAGGGTTGTTTTGCTTTGGTGGAGAACTCACTCCACGTCTGTGGCTGGTCTTAATCAACTTCACAGCCCCCAGGAGAATCCCAGAGTTAGGGTGTGGATAAAAGTCTTGTCTTATAAATCCTGCTTCTGCAGCTCTTCCTGCAGTTCCTTTTCTCTTTTTACTTTTTAACCAGTGTCTCTTCACTAGTCTTTTTTCCTCTGTATGATAACGGCTGCTGGTAAGGATTCCAATGAGCCCTGGATTTATTTCATGCACTCATGTGGTGCTGCTGTTTAACATGTGAAAGAACACTTACCATGTGCTTAGGAAATGTATCCCTTTTTAAAATTGCATGTCAGGATTTTCTGATTTGCTTGGAGTTTCTCGTTTCAAGAACATCTTTGCACAGAATAAGTCATATAAAGCGATTTGAAATAATGATTTCTATAGTGACATGATTTCTGTGCTCAGATCGTTGGAATTTGCGTCCAAGTATCGAACTGACTTGTGTGTGTGGGAGGTCACTTCCAGCCAAGGAAGTAAAATCTGCTGGTTGTGTCAGAGCTGGACAGCATTTGTTTGTAGACAACACAATTGATTGCTGATGGATTCCATTCTGTGTGTGGATCGATGTGCCTGAATCTGGGTCACGGAGCAGTGCTGCAGGAACCACCCTGGGTGTGAGACCCTTCACTTAAATGGGCAACCAGGCTGTCCTGTTGAACTAGATGGATATATAGATGTATAGATGTAAATATTTGATACAGAATGCTTACATTCTGCAGTATATGCAATCCATCTGGTCTTGCAGCATGTTGCACAACAATTATCCAGAGAAAGAGAGAAACAGACAAAGAATGTTTGTGCTGCATTTTACAGGAAATTTGAACAGGGAGAGAGAGAAATGTCTCTCATTGTTGATTCACAGTCTGGCGCAAACATTTATATTTTGCAATAAAGACTATCTTATTTCTCAAGGTTTTAATTTAGAGGACTCACTTAGTAAACACAGGGAATTTCAATAATTCCCCTCAGCCTGACTCAGCAATTGCACGTCTGGGCTCAGTGGTGGTTAAATACACAGTCATGACCCCCAGACGCCCTGATGTGGAACGCAGTGGAATTGTCCCCCATGTGCACAGCGCTGCATGTTTTCAGTGTTACAGTGCATAGAGTTCAAGAGAGAGAACAACATACTGATCACAGACAGAAAGGCAGAGCCGGCAGCAAAGAAAGCTGTGTAATTTCTTAACAAGGGGTGTCTTAGACGACTGTGTCCCTGTCCCTTCCCTGTTACACAAACCCTAGCTGGACATAATGCATAACATCCTAATGGACTCTTCTGGGCTGAAACTTTGGGTGTTTGTATGGTAACACCTGACGAAAAACGTGACATGAAAGTACGTCAAAAACATTTGGAAACAAACAACAGTTTCATTGTATTCTTCTTTTAATGTTACTGGACCTTAATCTTTAGTCAAAGCCGTTTATTGTATATTGGATAAGGTAACAGTTCTTAAAATTGGTGGTTCATCAGGCTTTGATGGAGTGATTTGTAAGATCGAGGTTCGGACCATGTTTAATATAAAATATATAATATATGTAGTAATTTAATATATAAAAGCAGGAGGATTCTTAGTATTTCCACACAGACTTACAGAAGGACAAAGTGTTCCTCTGCTGTTGGTGTTGTTTTCCTTGGTGAGGCTAGCCTGTGTTCAACATTTTGAGCAATTTGGTAAACAATGTTGTATTGCACTGATACGGGCGTGATATCTGGTTCCCTGTTTTGCAAAGTGAGCACAAGGTTTTAATTGTAATTCTATTCTGCTATTTAATACTATACTAATTTCAATAACTGAAATTACAACCAAACTAGCTAGGATGAATGAAAGTTCATTTCAAACATACTGTATAATGAGAATCACCTACTACCTATACTCCAGTTTCTTATAAAAATAACAATGTAATTCTGGCCCCAGCATGGTGCTGGCAAGAGGCAAA